GCGCCGTGTAACCCTCCCCCCCCGGGGTGCGACGTTTAACCCTTCCCTCCCTGTGTGCGACGTTTAACCCCTCCCTCCCTGTGTGCAACGTTTAACCCTTCCCTCCCTGTGTGCGATGGTTTAACCCTTCCCTCCCTCATATGGGGACACGGGACTCTGCGTATTATGGACGCTTGGCGTTGTGCTGAGGGGGGTCCGTGTGTCCTCCATGTCTCTGCTCGGGGGAGGTCTCGGTGGCCATCTTGGGACGGGCGGTTTCGGTTGATTGATGATTTGAGGTCTTGTGGCGGTTGTGCCGGAGTCCCGGCTATGACAATGCCGGGCGGCTCACCCCTCCTATGTTAGCGTGTGCCGGGCAATGTTCAGCGCTCAGTTCCGTGTTGATATTCTGGAATATTTGGGTTGCTTTGTCCTCCGTGTGAGTTGTGAACATTGGTTCCGTCTCTTCTCACCCACATTGTCTCACATTCTCTGTCACGTGTGTTTCATGTCTCACATTCTCTGTCACGTGTGTTTCATGTCTCACATTCTCTGTCACGTGTGTTTCATGTCTCACATTCTCTGTCACGCGTGTTTCATGTCTCACATTCTCTGTCACGCATGTTTCATGTCTCACATTCTCTGTCACGCGTGTTTCATGTCTCACATTCTCTGTCACGCGTGTTCCATGTCTCACATCCTCTGTCTCGTCTCTCTTCGCAGCCATCCCGGTGACTGAGGCCTCGGCTAACCCCCACGTGGCGCTCCTGATCACGGCTCATGGTGGGCACATCGGTTTCCTGGAGGGACTCTTCCCCAATCACCAGCGTTACATGGACCGCGTCTTCAGCCAGTTCTTGGGGGCCGCACTCAATCACAGCCAGGAGCTGAGGAGAGACACAGCCGCCGATCCCGCCTCCTGACGCCGATCCCGCCTCCTGGCGCTGACCCCCGCCTCCTGACGCCGAGTCTCCGCTCCCTGGGAGGACTCCGCCCCCCGGCACTGACGGAGCGTTTCCTGTCCCGATACCTCAATAAACCAAATACACAATACAAGTCTCTATGTATAGTACACCGGGGGCCCCCCATCATCCCGGGACCCCAGATAGTCCCCATCACTCCAGGTATAGTACACCGGGGGCCCCTCATCATCCCGGGACCCCAGATAGTCCCCGCCCCTCCATGCATCGTACACCCG